AGGAAGGAAATGAGCATTGTTGTTTGGGGGGGGGGGGGGGGGGGGAGAAGAATATGTAGATGCAAATCAGTTGTGAAGCATGCACATCATTTGAGAGTAAGCCCATATCCATTTGTTAACCCATTCAGTATGGTGCTGAGATTGGCTTCAATTCTAATGCCTCAATAAATGGGTCTGGACTAACTCCAGAAGTTGACCATTTGGGTTTCAGAAGAAGCCAAATGAACAAATCAGCAAATGCCATGGGGGATGGGTGCACCCAGGCCAAAAGAATTCTAATGCCCTTTTTTTTTCTGGGATGGAAGGAACTATAGGTTCAAACTCTTGGACTGCATTGCTTCTTAAATGAGGTGACAAAATACCTAACTTTGGGGACAAGGGTTCATTTGCAAAATTAGTCTTTGACTTCTTACCAGAAAACATTGTTACACTTTTTTTGGTCAATGAAATAATTGCCAAAAGTCGTTGAAACAATTCAAATTATGGAAATTTCAGGAAGGAGGTTCTCAATGCCTTGTTCTTGAGGGAATTTAGAGACTTGACAAAAATTCACAATAGGGAGATATTCGATTTGTATGGGGAGGCTTGGGTTATTAAGGTTTAACTAGAATAGAATTCAGGAATTAAAAAAAATTATGTACTGCTTCTGCTATGTTTCGTTAACTTAATCAAGGTCTTGAACCTCACATAGTGACACTTTGAAGTACTGCACAACACATTGACAGTACAATCAATGGTGTAATTGAAACAAAAAAATTGTTAAAAAATCCCTCATCAGAAAAAATTGAGAAACTTTCCTTCAACTTTGGATTCATTTGATTTGATGAATTCATTAAGTGATTTCTGGTCACATCTGTTGATTTTTGTGATGAATCATGAATGAGTGCATGAACAAACTAATTATGATCATCAATCCCAGCAGTTCAAAATTAAGTGAAATGAAAGGCAATCTTCCAATTGAACGAATTTAAATATAATTGATTCTCCCAAATGCGGTAATAATGAAACATTCGTTGAAAAAAACTAACGCTCACATACATGGACAAGGTCATGATCTAAAAATCCTGTGTCTGAAGGAGAAATTGACAAAAAAGAATCATTTCAGGTACACATACAGTATCTTGAAATCGGATGATACCAACATAAAGGTTAATTATTTTTATTTGAAGTACAGGTCAAAGCTTGTTAAAAATAACGTCCAGGTACACAGAAAGATTTTGTATAATGAAGAAATTTGTTGTTTTGAGATTCTTATTAAAATTGTGACGATTTATTCTAAAATAAGACATCAAATCCTTCGAATCGAATCTCAGCTCCACAAATCAACATTTTCCAGCAGAATAACGCAATGCATGACAGTGAAGAACTTTCTAAAATATTGTTTTCATTCCAATGAGTAGTAGAAAACTCAAAAAATTCTGTCAAAAAAAATAGTTGCACTGAAATTCTACTAACACGATATTTCTTCAACATTATTGTCTGGCAAGTTTTGGTCAGGACCTTGAATAAATTTGATTTCATGACAACATAGTCATAACAAGCAACTTTTCACGAAGGAAATTTTATTTCAATGAATAATTCGTAACAATGAAAATCCTTTGCAATGAAATATTCTTCACACATTATGAAATTGATCCACTGGAGAATCCTTTGGAATAAAAACAACGTCTCAAAATTAAAACTCATGGTGGAACGAAATATCCTTTACTACGAACATTGTTCCACTGTCAAAATCCTTCAGAATAAAAAACCAGTTATAATGAAAACTCATCATAAAAATTCGTTGCAAGAAAAATTACTCGTGTCATTTTCCATAAAGGAATTTGACCTGTACCTTGACACAAACAACCAGAAGGAACATATTTTATCAAAAAATAAAGGCTGCAGCCAAAAGTAAAACAATAATAATAATAAATACGCCATTATGCGCAAGAGAAGATCCGACGTCTACGTGAATAAAATATTGTACCCGCATCCTAAATGCCCAGTTGAGTTTCAAAGAAAGGGGGAGGGCGACATCTATCACATCATCATTTCACATACAAACAATCCAACACCAAGTGAAGAACATTTCAAGTACATCGCTGTCAAATCAGCAGTTGAATCATTGGACGGAAGTCAGCCATCATTACACAGCTTCATCAGAGTACAGCCCAAGCCAAGGAGCGCTTTTCAAGCCAACCCATCATCAAACAACTTCTTCCCAATGACACAAACTGCTCAATATGAGTGCAGCAACAGTGAGCTTCTTCACTCTACAGCAGCTTTTGAATTTCCTTTTCAAAGTCCTGGCGATGAAAAGAGTAGAAGAAAATCATTTGAATCAATATTCCCCAGAGGAAAAAAAAAAATTTATGATGAAGTTTACCTTGGGATTTTCTTTCGGTCCAAAACGTTGAACAGGAACGCCTTGTCGATTAATCAAAAATTTTGTGAAGTTCCACTTGATGAAACTATAGACAAAAATATTCAGGTGAAAAAAAATGCTCTGAAGCATGTAAAAAGTACATACAGTGAGACCCCCAGATGCAGACATAATTGGTGCATCAAGAGTGTCCCTAAGTTGAATTGTCCATAAGTCAAGTCTCATTTTCCCATAGACTTACATCACATAATTTTTACTGGTGTTTCATGGAAGAAATATTCTTTGGAATTCCATGAAAAAAATTGTTCACCACTTGAATTTGATTCAGTGAATATATTTTCAACTCAATAAAAACATTTGCAGCACCAAATAGTGTATCTCTGTACTGTACACTGAAATGTCGGCATCAACTAAAATAACATGAAAGTCACGAAGAGAGAAGGAAGTCACTATATGCTACAGATAATTTTTTTCAATTAACTGAATGGATGCAAAAATTATGGGAGAAATAGCAAAGAATTTTTCTTGCATAGATCTTAGGGTTGGAAATATCTGTTTCTTGCAATTAAGCCCAATAAACATCAATTTTACTGAAATTTATTGGTAATCTTATCATGCCATGTACTCATGTTGTGACAGTATGTCAGGCCTTTTTTATTGAAAAATAAATGTCCATATGTTTAGGTGTCTGCATTTGGGGGTCTCACTGTATTACTATATAGTCACTCACCTCCCAAGAAATCCTCCTTTTTGTTCTTTAAGCCACTTCCACAAAGGATGAGCGTTTCCTCCATTCACTTCAATTTTTGCAAACATGTCAAACTGCACTCCAAAGCCTTCTGCAAACTTCACAATTTCCGCCTCAGTTCCAGGTTCCTGTTGACAATGAATGGAATTACAGTCAAATTGGGATTCAGTGCCATCATTTGTTCAGGCACACTTTTGGGAAGTAAAGTCTTTCATAAAATATGTTCCTTCGAAACTAAATCCAAAAAATATGACAGTCGTTTTATCCGAACAAGTGTATAAAAAGTCCTGACAAAATAGTGTTGTTTTCGGTGGTCTTTATTAAGTTACGAGTTTAAGACTGCCTCTTTTAATCACTCCACTGACCTACTGTATTTCAAAATATTTACTTTACCAAGACAGAATCTTGTACTTGCAGTACACAAATCACTCTACAAGTCCTACATGCACCAGAGTTTTTCAGTCAAAATATTTGATAAAATTGTATCTGTGAAAAAGATTTGCACCCCATTTCTATAGTGAATCTCTACTTCAAAAATAAGAACAGGAAAGCTCCCAATTTTTTTTTTGTATTCCTGTAAAGAATAGTGTCATATCAAACAACAACAAATATATTTTGAACATTTCAAGTTAAAAATACAATGTTAAATGCAATTCTGAGTCTTTGGGCAAGCCTCGGCATATTATTACAGATGAACCTTGATAACTCAAACCTCCCTGAGTCAAATTTTTCTTCAGTTCCTTATCTGAATCCCCTTTGAAACTATACTGTACATTAAAAACCTCTACCAATGTCAAAGGCTTTTCTCCACAATCCTCCTGAAGTCAAATTTTCTGTGTCCTGTTGGCCATTATTTTCTTGACCAAAGAAAAAAAAACAATAAAAACAGAAATTTGTGTGTTTCAAAGGAAGTGAAAGACTTAATTGGGCAAATGAACCCCTGCCTTCAAGTTCAGCATCCTGTCAACTCATTTAAGAAGCCATTTAAGCTCCAGAATATCATCATTTACAATTTTAGGACATTTTTCTGTTTCCCAGAACAAAAAGGCTGTGTATTGTAACTCAAACCTCTATATACTGTAAAGTAATTCAAAACCTGCCCAAGTCACATTTTATTTGCTGGTCCCTTGAAATTTGACTGTATCAATAATAAATAATAACCCAATGATATCCCTAAAGAAAAGGGCCCTAATTTCTTAAATTCTGGCTCATGTTTCAACAAGTACACAGGGTTTTCTTTATGGCAATAAGAGAGTTGGAACCAAATCAAATTTTCCCATAAAAACACCATGAAGGGACATTTGTTCTGGGGAAATTTGTGGCACTAAATTGTAAATTTTGGCAAACATTTCCAAAGCACAAACAAACCTGATTTCCAAATTGATTGCAAGGAAAGGCAAGAATGCAGAAACCCTGATCAGCGTACTTCCTGTGAAGCTCAACCAGCTGAGTGTAGTTGACATTCGTCAACCCTCACTTGGTGGCGACGTTCACGATCAGACAAACCTTTCCCCTGGTAAAAAAAAAATTGAATATTCAATCAAACAGTAATTTTTCTCGGTTCTTCAACATCAACAAAAAACCAACCTGTACTTCTCCAACTGCACGAGTCCACCGCCATTGATGGCGTCCGCGGAAAAGTCGTAAATAGTTTTCGCGGTTTTGTAATCGTTCGACGCCATCACGGAGTTCACAGACGCACTAAATGGAACCACGGCGTTGATTCGACAGCACGTTTGGAATATTCCACACAAATGGCTCAACATTCAGAGCTTTCTTACGCTTTTTGACCTGCGTGAAGTGAGCAAAGAATGAACTATAGATTAGAGCTTCACAGTTAACATCGCACCGGTATGGTTTTCACTCTTATCTCCCACCAAGAGTGGCGGGAAAACAAACAAAGGAATAACACACTGCCGATCTTTTGGTGGACTCGGTATCTCAGGGGCACCAGCATTGGCCTCATCTCAGGAGATCACCTGCCAAATAGTTTCCGGCTAAAAACGCGAATTTAATGAAAATTTGCCTTGAATGACTTGTGGTACAAAATCATAGCTGTCACTGACATACAATCTCATTTGGTTTGCAGCAATTTTGGCACAAAGATGTAATTTTTTGAATACAGTACAGTATTTCATCAGGTACCACACACACTTTTTTTTTCAAACTTGAGAGGGTCACAGGCACGTGTAATTTTTTTGAATTGCACAAGTTTAGGTGTGCATAACACAGTGAGACCCCCACATGTGGACACCTTGACATGGGGACAATTCAACACAGGGACACTTATTTTTCAATACAAAAAATCATAAAAAGGCCCAACATAGGGACACTGATTCAACATGAGGACATTGAATGATAAAATTGGCAATACATTTTAGGAACATTGACTTTTATTAGGCTTAATTTCAAGAAACAGATAGTTCCAACCCTAAGATCTATTCAAAAAAATTCTTTGGTACTTTTCCCATCCATTCAGGTGATTTAAAATTACCTACAGCACAGTGGAACTTCCTTCTCTCTTAGTGACTTGAATGTTATTTTTATACAGATGCAAACATTTCAGTGCACAATACTCAGGTACCCTATTCAATGCTCCAAATGTTCTTATTGAGTTGAAAATATCTTCACTGAATCAAATTCAAGCAGAAAAATTTTTTTAAATGAAATTCTGAAGAATATTTCTTCTATGAAACACCAATTAAAAATTACACAATACAAATCTATGGGAAAACAAGACTTGACTTCGGGACTCTCTTGATGTACCAAGTATGTCTGCATCTGGGGGTCTCACTGTACCTGAATTACAGGAAATTTTGAAAGCCACCTTTCAAAGAATGATAACAGTTGAATGAAATATGAATTTATTGATTTTATTCACAACTTCAAATTCTGGTGTCTTGTTTTTGAGATGTTCCTCAGAACTGAGTGTGGTTCTTACTTCAGGATAGGATTTCAGCAAAATTTCAGGTTGAAAAATCAAGGAACATGGTACTCAATTAAGAATGACACAATTGGACAATACCTGCAACAATATTCCTTGCCCCATTATTATTTTGCTTAACCTTGATTCCATTCAGCCCAATCACACTTTAGAAATTATTGTAAGCAAATTCACATCTGCAGTGATATTTTCCTGAATCAAAAATTAACTTCTCAGCCAAGGGAAAGGAAAACACATTTGGACCTCAATAAGATACAGACACCTCAACTTACAGACAATTTGATTAAGGGACATTTGAAGTTTGAAAAATGCACCCCAACATCCTGCCAAAATGTTGGCTTATCTTATAAACACATTCTGCTATGCATATTCATAAACCTTCAAAATAAAGCTTATTGCAGTTTTCTTCAATGCAGAAAATTTCTGCATCTTGGAGTTGCAAGGAAACTTTCATTCCATTTTATGGAGGACTTTCTCTAGATTGATAGAAACAATAAACCAACTGAATATCTTCCCAATTAAGTCTGTGGGAAAGCATGATCCAACATACAGACAAGGTCCTAGACCTATTTTATGTCCGCATTCTGGGGCCCTATTGAACTCAATATAAAACAGAACTGAAAATTTAAAAAATGCAACAAATTTACATGTGGTATAATATGTTTTTCCGTACGCAGAAGTACTGAAAATTCGGCTGAGAACCAACACTTGGAAAAAGAAGCATTCATCGTCGCGAGATTTGTTAGTTCACAGGATGGTGAATTGAAAAGTCCGTTAATTTGAAAATTATGGACAGTGACAACTATCATGGAAGATTTTTTTTATTTTGATACCAAAAAACGCCAGACGGAAACTTTTGGATCAGAAATGAAAAATACCTAACGGAACTACAATATCTACTATCCTCTCGCGATTATACTGGTCTGAGCTCTCTTTTCAAGAAAACGAAACATCCGTTTTCTGTATTGCCCAGGTTTACATAGAAGAGGGATATTGTCTATCACATGATTTCACCAGCACCGTTCACAAACATTAGTAAGACCGCAAATTTCCTTTCAAATCACTAGAAAAAAGTTAGTTTATTAAACAGATTCGTCCGCATTCAGCCCAAGCTAACCATAGGGATGTCCAGGTCATCCCGTTATAGTTAGTCCCTGATGAGCAACGGCAGCGACATTTGCAGCTTCTTTGCACTAAAGAAGCTTCTGAATTTCTTTCTCGAAGTCCTGCGGAGATGAGTCAAGTCAATTTGGGAGAAAAAATCATAATATATCAAAAATTACCGCAGGATTATCGTTCGGTCCGAAACGTTGAACGGGGATGCCTTGCCGGTCTACAAGGAATTTCGTGAAGTTCCACTTGATAAAGCTACCGCAATAATTGCATGAGAGAACACGTCCAAAAAATGAGAATTCACTCAAAGCATTCAAGAGACTATCAGCGAATCACCTTCCGAGAAACCCTCCTTTCTGCTCTTTGAGCCACTTCCATAATGGATGAGCGCTATCTCCGTTCACATCGATCTTTTCAAACATATCGAACTCTACACCGAACCCTTGAACAAATTTCACAATATCCGCTTCAGTCCCGGGTTCCTGAAAAAGTTGCAAAAACATTTTCAATAGGCTAAGAACAGTTACCCTGGAACTAACCTGGCTCAGGAATTGATTGCAAGGAAACGCAAGGACACTGAAACCTTGATCAACGTACTTCTTGTGAAGTTCGACCAGTTGAGTGTAGTCGACATTCGTCAACCCACACTTGGTGGCGACGTTCACAATTAGACATACTTTTCCCCTGCAGACAAGAAACGTAACTTTGAATCTTTTAATAACATTTTTCTCTTGAAAATTAAACCAACCTGTACTTTTCCAACTGTACCAGTCCACCACCGTTGATGGCGTTTGCGGAAAAATCGTAAATCGTTTTTGCAGTTTTGTAATTGTTTGATGTCATCCTTGAAGATACGGACGTGCTAAACGGAACAATAGCGTTGACTCGACAGCACGCCAAAAATATTCCACACAAATTGTTATACATTTAGAGCTTCCTCGGATGCCTTTCTGCGTGAAACAAATGAACATATTAAAAGGGCGCCATGGTTGATGTTATGCGCAATCTCTTCACAATATCCTCATAAATTCAACAAAAAAGGAAAACCTGACCACCGAACCACGGTTTTTTTTAATGCGTGAAAACGCCCCTTCAAGTCATCCTCTCTAGCTTGTGTAGCCTCCGAACATTGGCGTTGATCTGCACGCTACTTCACAAGCTAAAGCACGAGTCTATCCCTAATCCACGAAAGGATAACATCGCTCGTGGGCCTTTCCACCAAACCAAATTTCATCAACCAGCAGATATTCCTCTCAGTAAATAACTGCAATGCATACATAAATGAAGAATATAATACGGAACAACTTTTAAAAAACCATTCATTCGTCAACTCCCCGAAACAGATCTTGCTCACGTTTTCAGTCACCTGCTTCAAATTCCTTCCCGCGGAAATAATACTTATCTGTTTCCGCCCAAGTGCACGTCGCTCAAAACGTTGCAGGCAAAACTAACGTTTCATCACGATCTTCATAGAGATCTCCTTGGAGTCTAGTCCGAGAGAGTATTGCGTTCTTGATTACCAAGAAGTCTTGATCTGCATGGCGCAGAAGCATCCGCCGAGAAAACATGACAGTAGCATCAGTTCAACTCATTTTTGATTCACATCGATGGGAACAGTATCACAGAAAAAAAGACACAGCTGCGGAACAGAGGGTAGAATGGGATTCATTCGAATAACGATGAACATGACAGGATGCACTTTGATATGACGTTTAACCCTTCTTTCCGGAAACCTTGTTTCATTCGACTCGCAGAAAAATCAACCAATCGACGAGGACTATTTCTTCAGGAAACAATCCGAAACGCACAACCTGCATCATTTCAACAACAAAAACCGGACAATCGTGAAAGATTCTGTTTTTTTGCTCAAAATCGGCAGGAGTCTAAAAATTCAGTGCTTTCAGCAGTGACAGGACATTATGGTACAGTGAGAGAGTTCCGGAGCTATCCTAGTTGGGGGGACCCAAGCTCAAAACTACATCTATGTAGATGTCGCTAAGAACGGCGGACGGAACGTCCCAGGCAGCATCCATTTGTGTTTCTTGAATAATTCACCAACTATTCAACATCACTGTTCTGCCGTACCGCATGGTTAGCCTCGCCACTGGTCCAAGTTCTTCTTTACTCAGGTACCTAAGATACACTATTTTAGACTAATTTGAAAGCATGCTGTTAAAGTCAAATTCAGAAGGACCAAGAAAAACGTTTAGAAATTTGACAAAAATCTTTCAGTTATGGTGTTTTATTCGACATTGCTTGTGAGGAATCGGACCGGGGCTAGAAAAAAATTCAGTGTAAAGATATTTTCTGTACCGAGTGAGATGCGAGGTTCAATTGTAAGTTAATTTGATGCATCATCTTGGGGGCACATAATCTATATTCATCAGGGACATCACCCATACCCTCTCATTTTCTGTAGGTCATTAAATTTGTAATAATTTTTTCCAGTTGTTGAGAAATGAAGCTGATGTGAATGCAGTGAATGAGCACCGGGAACACACATTTTGCGTGTTTCTGGGGATAC